TCGTTTAATCGACTCAAAGCAAAATTTGGGGGAACTGCTTCAAGGTCGTCGCCTGCCTGTACTAAATTGAATGAACCTCAGCGGGACCTTCACCTCACTTAAGTGGACAACGGTCAGGATGTCATTGTTCAAAAATCACCCTGTAACAACTGCCTAACTTTTCTTGTTCTCTCTCTTTGTTCCTCATCCCTCCGAAATCCTGGGCCCATTTTTGCAGGTGCTCATACCAAACGGTTTAAAACAAGGGCGCATTCAAAAAAAAAAACTCAAAGAGTGCTATAAACAAAAAAACCATTCGGCTTTTCCAAATTGATGGTCTTGGAAAAGCATAGGCGTTTTTCTGCTTACACTAGTTTTTGAGGTATTTTTTCCGAGAAGACAAAAAAGCTCGTGGAAAGTCCCAGAATCGCCAATCGAAGATGATGTACGCTCCGCTACAAAGTGACGGTATGCTTGCCAGTTGCATTTCTAAACACAGTTTCTCCACACACGTGAGGCAGCTATGGCCACGTAAGGCTGGTGTCTAATCTTTATTTGAGCTATCGCCCGACCGTCCGTAGCAATGAGAATAAAGACGAAGCTTTTCTCTGCTGAAATTTACTGAAAAAGTAAACTTAATAAGCATTTCGGCTTGTGATGCTGCCAGCAAAAAAATACTCACACATACACAGAGCCTGGCAACATTTTAAGTGACACATAACCTTAGAGATTAAGCAAAAATGCTTACTTTTGCTGTTGTTAGTGCTCGAAGTAGAAAGCGACCTTCGCGGTCATCTTTGTGCCAATTCAGTTGCACAAGCAGTGGCTTTTCGCTAGGCGCCAAACATCGTTCTTCGCCATTCTCATGCACTTCCCAGAGCGTATATTCCGGATTACTGAGCCTGAAATCGAGAATCTCCAACTTTTCTTTTGCTCATTACAGTTGCACTAGTAATTAAAATTCGCCATAAAACTAATTATAAAAATATCTTTTTAATAAAAACTTATGCAGCCAATTTAAAAAAAAAAATCATTTTTTGGGAAAAAATCAATTTATGTTTAAAAACGACGTTTCAATGTATATGTCCGATGAATAAGCGTATCGCACCAAATTGTATTATCAAGAAAAATTAGTTTTTTAATAAAAAGAACTATTTTTCCAATTAAAAAAAAATTATTTTTGATGAAAAACTGCCTTTCGTTTCTGGACTTTTTCTGGTAGAAAATTACCCATAATGATAAATTAATAGAAAATTTGATTAGAAACTCTCTTTTAATAAGAATCTATTAGA